TTAATAATTAAATTAAATGTTAAACTAAAATATGCATTAAATTACACATTATTTATAAATTATTAAATTATATGTACACATAAATAAATAATAAATTATATATTAATTATATATTAAATTGTAACACATTAATTGTATTTTTGCCAATGACTGTGGTTGACACACTACAAATGACATACTACAAAGATTAAAGCTTGATGATTTTGTCTTTTTCTACCAATAAACATTAAATAAAAACAGCAATTAAGAGCAACAAAAAAAAAAAGCAGTTATTTATATAATAATTAAATTAAAAAATGGTAATTAAATACATGCAATCCATCTGTAGTATGAAGAAAATCACAAATAAATTGCATTTTTGACAACGACTGTGGATGATAATCTGATGATAATCTGCATTGTACAGGAAAAACCCAAAGAGCATAAAATAAGGAATGATTTATTGATTTTCCTAGACATTAATATCTGGACACTTACGAATGTCTGACTGTCACTGCATTAGATGCAACTCATACATGCAGGTATGGTATCTTGTTTTTTACTCTTTTGCTTTTGTATTTTCTCATGTAATGCAATGACACTCAGGCATCTGCAGGTGTTGAAACACTGTTCGGGGTCAGTGTGTTTGTTATTTTGGGATGGTGAAGTGCTCGTGAATAGCATCACCCTTCACCCTTCAGAGCTGCGTCCGTAACCCGAGCCGCGGCTGAAGATCTTTCAGACATGAGTGCATCTGTGAGCTGAGGTGTGACACACAGGTGTCAGGTGAACTCCAGCAACACTTTCTGTCTGCCACACCTGTCTCACCTGGACCTGAGCTGCCTTCTGGGATGTGACCTCATTCTGAGCACATTTTACAGCAGCATCGCATGCATTCTTCAAATAAAAGACAATCCCATCAGGCATCAGTTGGTGCTCAGTGCGAAAACCTAACTATAATAGCAAAGCAAATTCTATTGAATAATCAAATAAATTATTAAGAAATTATTATTTAATCAATTATTAAATTGCAATGACCATTACAATTGACCATGCCATAAAAAAATAAAAAAATTAAAATAAATAAATATATATATATATATATGTATGTTTTTATATATATATATTGTATATATATATGTGTGTGTGTGTAATATGTGACCCTGGAGCACAAAAGCAGTGTTAAGTCGCTGGGGTATATTTGTAGCAATAGCCAACAATACATTGTATGGGTCAAAATTATAGATTTTTCTTTTATGACAAAAATCATTAGGATATTAAGTAAAGATCATGTTCCATAAAGATATTTTGTAAATTTCCTACTGTAAATATATTAAAACTTAATTTTTGATTAGTAATATGCATTGCTAAGAACTTCATTTGGACAACTTTAAAGATGATTTTCTCAATATTTAGATTTTTTTGCACCCTCAGATTCCAGATTTTCAAATAGTTGTATCTCAGCCAAATATTGTCCTATCCTAACAAACCATACATCAATGAAAAGCTTATTTATTCAGCTTTCAGATGATGTATGCATCTCAATTTAGAGAAATTGACACTTATGACTGGTTTTGTGGTCCAGGGTCACATATATACACTGAATGTATCCAAATTAAATTGATATTTTTTCTTAAATTGGTATTTTTTCTCCACAGACGTCACTAGGGAACAGCACTCATGTATCTGTCAGTCTGACGTTGACGCCGCTCTGGTCTCTGGTCTCTGTCTTACTGTTTATAGGCCGGGGCGACCCAGTACGGGTTCTCAGCGGCGTCTCTGGCATGACGCAGGATGGTCTCTCGCGGGTTGCTGTCGTAGGTTTTGTCCAGGGCGATGTTTTTGACGATGAAGGAGGACAGCGTCCCGCCGTGGGCCGCCACACGACCGCCTCGACCTGCTCCGGGATGAAAGCACAGATCAGAAACACTCACAGAGCATTCAGAGGGGCCTCCCTCGCTCCCACACACGAGAACGCAAGCAAAACATCCTCCTCCATGCGGGGAAGTGTATTTATGTTGTGATTAAACACAGCAGCGGCTGAACGCTGTTTCTACGATAACTTAAAACGCTGCAGATTGTAGACGGCCCCGCTGATCCTCTGCCAGGATTTTGGTGTAATCTAGCGCAGTGTTTACTCGAGAGTCTGTGAATCTGGAGCTTCTTGGCACAGAGACTCAGACTCACTCCAGCGAATAACAGCAGTTCCACGAATGAGCTTAATAATGTCAGAAAGTTGGAAAGTTACATCCGTGAGAGATGTGCTTAACATTGAGAAGATACTATCTGTCCACCTCGGGATGGATTATATTATTATATGAGCCATCCCATTTTATTTACTGTGAGGTTTGTGATTTTTGGTACTTAAAGTTGGGACGTGTCATTACAGTTTAAAACTTGATTTGTACTTCTCTATAAATAAACAATTAAATAAACAAATAGATGATTTATTAATTAATTATTAATTTATTAGTTAATAATATTGTATTAATTTTTATAATTGTGATACATTTTATATTCACAATTATATTTAAATATTATAATTTATATTCATATTTAATATTTATACAAAATAATAAAAGTATACAAAAACAGTGTATAAATGAATGAATTGATTTATAAATTAATTTATAAAGTTAATATTTTAATATATTAATATTAAATTATATTAAATTTTATATTATATTTGTGGAAACTGTGACATATTATATTTATACATAAAATAAATATATATTAATACATAAAATAAATATATATTAATATTTATTATTTATATAAATATAAAAACAAATACTACATATAAATAACTAAATTAATTGATTTATAAATTAATATATAACATGAATATATTAATATTAATATATGTATACACATATATT